TGTAATCCCAGCTACTCAGGAGGCTGAGGCAGGAGAATTGCCTGAACCCAGGAGGCGGAGGTTGTGGAGAGCCGAGATCGCGCCATTGCACTCCAGCCTGGGTAACAAGAGCGAAACTCCGTCTCAAAAAAAAATAAATAAATAAAAATAAAAATAAACATTTAAGCAGTTTTCAGTGTCAGCCATAAATCTGAAGACAGGACTAGGGTTAGGATCCTGGGACAAATCCTTACTCTACCCACTAACCCTAAAGTATGTGTATTAAAGGGTTATTTCCCTGCTTGCAGGAACTAGATTAATACAACGAGAAAAATAAAGGGTTATTTCATTTTCATTTACTGTGGCTAAAAGTAAAACTGCTAGGCATGAACACAGAGATCTGGTATTTTAATTTGAGGAAAAATATTCTGGGCTTTCATTCATAGCAAAAAATCATTAAGACTACATTTATGGCAGTCTAATGCTTTGAATCAGAAAAGGAAACCAGGTATAATGGCTTATAACACTGAATGAAATTAAAACATTTTAAAGGGCTTCAGTGAGAAAAAATTACTTACCAACTCTGCATTCTGAATTTTCTTCTAGCTTTTTCACAAAATTATCTATCACTGCTTTTGCTTTTCCTTGCATTGCTTTGCTGCCATATATTTTGACTAATGATTCTCGTCTTTCTTGTATTATCTAGGTACAAGGGGAAAAAAAGAGGTAAGATTTAAAAGTTCCCTAAAGCCACTAACCCCTTTCAACAATCACTCATTTTCAAAATTATTACAGTATAAAGTAAATACAGTATTACTACCAATCAAAGTCTATATTTCTAGTTAGAGAGGAGTATTACTTGTATACTCAGGGATTTACCTTCCGGTCAGATGCAGAGGGGCAGGACAACCTGAACATCTAAACAATGGACAGTTAGGGAATAGACTCAGCAAATAGTGTAGAGAAATAATTAAGGCATTAAACCTGACAGGTGATAGTATTTTGATTCTGAGGTTTTCAACCTACAAAATGGTATTTGTTTCACCATTCATACAGAATTGTAGGGCTGAAATAAAGTAACCTATGTGCTAGAGAGTTTATTGAACTGCCAGGTTACCCAGCTAAATTCTTAACTTGATAGGATTCTGTATCTATGTATACTGTTAGGGGTATGTTTATAAGACTGATACATTTTGTGAATAGAATCTACAAGTAACACCTATCAACAAGGATAATTTCAAATAACCTAATAGATTCAATATTTATCTAGAAAATACTATACACCAAATTTTGTCTTAGGTTGGTAATTCAATGTTTACCATCTACAGTATTTACAGGCACTATAACTCTGTATGAGTACTGAAGCAAGGCCATTACTGGGTACTATGGGAAGGGACAATTATATAGAATGGGGGTCTTAAGACTTCCCTAAAAGGTGAGCAGGAATTATTTATGTGGAAATAGCTGTGATAGCAAGGTGTGTCAGGAAGTGGGTGGAGTACTCAAGGAATTAGGGAAGAGGAGACTGGAGAGGGTGCACAGGCCAGCTCATGTCAACAATTTTAAAGCGTATAGACTTACAGGCCTGATATATTATGAAATGTTTTTACACAGGAAAGGGACACAAATAATTTGTGTTTTAAAATATTTGCTCTGGCCAAGCATGGTGGCTCAGGCCTGCATTCCCAGCATTTTGGGAAGCTGAGGCGAGTGGATCATCTGAGGTCAGGAGTTCAAGACCAGCCTGGCCAACATGGTGAAACCCTGTCTCTACTTAAAGTACAAAAATTAGCCAGGCGTGCTATCAGGAACCTGTAATCCAGACTTCTCTGGAGGCTGAGGCAGAAGAATTGCTTGAACCCGGGAGGCAGAGGTTGCAGTGCACCAAGATCCTGCCATTGCACTCCAGCCTGGGTGACGGAAGGAGACTCCGTCTCCAAAAAAAAAAAAAAAAATTAAGTTAGGTGCTCCCTCTCTTAAGGACTGAAGAACACAGATGACTTACTTGGATTATGGTGTTTGTTGTACTTTGTATATGCTTTATTTTCGACCCACCACGACCTGTTTTTAAAAATAAAGGAAATACAACTATCAGTTGAAATCAGTAAGTTAAAAATTTACCCATTTTCCTCAACAAACATTCTCTAGTTCTCCAAAAATGTTCCTAGGGTTCAACAATCACTTTTTATTTGGAAAGAGGGAAGTAAGAGGTTCCATTCCAAATTTTGGTGGGTTTTAGAATGCTCTTATCCCAGAGAGGTGGAGACTACAGATTATATATCAGCTCGAATAAAACCTAATTGGGTCCAAACTGGTGGAGAGGATGTAGAAATTGGAAAAATAGACAAACCTTAATAGATATTTCTCCAGTGACATACAAATGGCCAACAGGCATAAGGAGATGTTCAACATCACTAATCAGGTTCACACAAATCCGAAACCACAAAATTATTGTCATCTCACATCTGGTAGGATGACCATTATTAAAAACAGAAAATAACTGCTGGTAAGGATGTGGAGAAATTGGAACCTCTGTGTACAGTTGGTGGGATTGTAAAATGGTGCTGCCACAGGCCGGGCGCGGTGGCTCAAGCCTGTAATCCCAGCACTTTGGGAGGCCGAGGCGGGTG